CAAGATGGCCTCCTCTCGCACTGGAGGGCGCTTCTCCTCGCGCTTCTCCTCGGTTCTCTTCTCGTCTCCTCTTCACTGCTGCATTCCATGTCCATATGAATAACTCCTCTCTGTCGCTTTCCGAGGCCGGTCGAAAGGGTGGGCCCAGCGTTTCGCCTGAAACGTCCCCATTATTCATGACCCTGAAGCTGAAAATATTGACAACATCTTCTCAGATGGAGGGCGAATGGCTATCGCAATGTCGCTCTCGCCCTAGCGCCGCACATCCGTTCTAAACACCTGTACGAGTTTCTCGGATTGAGGGCAGGTGGTGTTCAAAAGTTGTTTTCTCTTCAGCGCCGCGCACATTCGCTTAAACTTCCAGGATTTCGCTGATTGAGAGTGGGCCGTTCTCACAATGTGTCTCTCTCGCCGTAGAGCCGCGCACATTATGTCGAAACATGTGCAAGCATTTCAAGGATTGAGGGCGGTTCCTTATCAACATGTGGCTCTCGCTTTCGCGCCGCGCACATTCGTTCTAATACGCTGCAAGGTTTTCACGGGTTCCCATGTTCAGCGTACCAGACGTGGCGCTTTGGAACGACTCACGATTGTCCAGGGTTATCAGTTGCTTTGCTTCGGGGTGTTGCAGACCCTGGAATGGTGCTCTGGCAAGATTCAGGGTCGTCAAGACGCAACAGCCCCGAGAACGGTATTGTTGTGCGCCTCGGATCCTGTCACGGTTGTTTCTTGACGGGGCACGCCCCTCAGTGGAAATGAACAGTTGTAGGGGCCTTTGAAGAAGAAGCTTGGAGGGAGGGTGTATTCCAACATCGACACTACTTGTCCAGTGCCGTATATGAACCCCGACCCACAGGAACGTCCAGGAGCGTCCAGACATCTGATGTCATTTGTTGTGTCCAGAGCGGGATTTCAAGACCCCCCAAGGTTCCGACAAATTCCTCGTGATTGTGGTCTGTCCCGTTTGGTTGTTGACGGCCCAGGGGTTCGCTGAGGGCCCCCAGAGGCCAAACTGCAGAGAAACCTTCGCACTGGAGAGATCACGATTGATTCCCCCAAGACTTTCTCCGCTCATCGATGGTTCGCCGCCAATATCGGGGCCTGGACTACTTTGAAAGAAAAAATTCTAAAAAAGGAAAAAAGAAACAAATCCCCAAGACTTTCTCCATCCTCGATCGCACCCCTAGCCTCGAGCCTCGAAGGCGGCACGTGTCGGGCACCAAGAGCGGGCGCCGGCGCCATGAGGGCCTTGCGAGCCGTCACGAGGGCGGCGAGCCCAGCGGGCCGCCGCCCAGCAGAGCATCGGCGGACGCCAACCATCTCGGGTGTTGCTAGAAGTGCCCCTGGCCCAAGGTGCCCCCCTGGGAGTCCCCAGGGGCCCCTGCGGCCTCCAAAGCACCCCTCGCGAGGCCAAGGTGCCCAGGGGTTCTGAGGTGGAGCGAAAACTTGGGGCACCTCAGGCCAGGGGCACCCTTCGCAACCCCCGAGCCATACCCCATTCCCCTCGAGGGCTCGAGGATTGTCGGGTTTGGGGGGGGATCTTCTCGCCCTTCGGGGGGAGCCCAAGGTCGGTGTGTATGCGTTCCTGGCCACGCCAAGCCAGTAGGGCGTGATACAGAGACGGAGCGATCATGGGCCTGCCAGTCTGGGGTCGGTATAGTTGGCGTCCTCCTAGCAGAATGCGCGTCCAGATCAGGATACGGAAGCCTTGCTGTCGTCGGCGTCCCCACCAGCGCCCGTGCCGAAGAACATCGCGCCAAGCCCACGTGGCAAACAGGTGCTCCAAAGGCGGAGTATGATCTGCTGCATCACCTCGCAGGTGGTTGTGTTTGCGTCCGTGGTACTGCTGTGCGTGGCATGGGCTCCGAGTCACTGGCGCGGGGAGGTGACGGAGCTAGAGCGTGAGTTCCAGTGGGTCGCCGAGGAGAACGAGCGCTTGTTGGAGGAGGGGCAGATGACGCGGGGACTCAAGCCCGCGACAGAAGATCGGGAACTCCGGCCGTACGAGGCCGTGACGGGCTCGCCTGGCAACCGAGATCCAGAGATGTACGGACATGTGAGAGAGAAGACAATGTGGGCCTACTGGTACAGCGAGGACCTCTGCCCTAGCTCCAAGAGCTGCAATCTGCCGGCACACCTGCAGCTGTGCGTGGAGAGCATGCAGAGGAACAAAGGCGACTTCGATTTCAAGCTCATCCATCGCGACGAGGTGGAGAGGTATCTCAACTGGTACGAGTTGCCATTTCGCTGGCGCGACCTGCAGCCCGCCCAGCAGAAGGACTCGCTGATGAACGCACTGCTGGCCAGATACGGCGGCGTTGCAATGGACGTATCCACGGTCCTGCTCCGGCCGCTGGACGAGTATTGGGACGAGATGGTCCAAGAGAGGGCCGCCCTGTGGGGATACATGTACCGGCTCAATGGCATGCCCTGGCGGCACGCCGAGGTCATGGCGGTGTGGTTCCTGATGGCTCGCCGCGAGGGCGTTTTCGCGACTGCCGTCAGGAACCAGGTCGTCGGCATGGGGGACCAGAACGACACAGGGGCTTATCACCATTGGTACTTGGCCCTCGGCGACCAGACCCTGACCCCCATCCTGTCGAACCTCAACTACAGCTGGCCCAAGTGTTTCAGTGACGAGACCGTGAAAGACACCAGGAAGTGCCCCGAGAACGAGATGCCAAACTGGCACGAGGGTCTTGTCGGCCCTCAGCGGAATGACATGAGGGCGGTGCTTCGTGACCCGCGTGACGGCCCACAGTTGCCTTTCGCGTGGGTTGACATGCTGACGTGGAACGTCTCCAACACCTCCGAAGGCCTGGACCTCTCGGACAACGCAAAAGGGGCGCCGCTCTACGGCATCACGTGCACCTCGATGGCGCAGTGCTGGAACGATGTCTTTCTCAGCCGCTTCGAGCAGCCAGCAGAGCCCGGCCAAGGGCGAGTGCTGAACTTCGTGAAGCTCTTCAAGCACGGGTACGAGCTCGACGGAAAGAGCCGTGAGGAAATCCTCGCCGGCAGAGACACATTCTTCTTCAATTGGCTGAGACTAGCAGGTGTTGTCTAGCTTGAAGCGCGCTGGCTTGCGCTGAATTCGAGCACCAAGCTCTGCTATCCGGGTTCCCCTCGCTGTCATACTTTCCATCCGTCGTCGTCGTCTCTCTCTCTCTCTCTTTCTCTCTCTTCCCTCGCACTATCGACGCATGCATGCGCATCGGGCCGGATATTGCTAACGATCAGCGTCGTGAAGACCGCGACCTGCTATGTATACATCTTTGATGCAGGAAAACAATAACATCGATCCCTGCGGTATCCCCGATATTCTTTCAGCTCTTGCAGATACTTCGCCTATGCGCTCCTCAGTCTGTGGCGGCGATTATTCGTAACGCCGCGTGGCGTGATCCTCCTCCTCCTCCTCCTCCCTCCCGTGTCCTGCCCATCTTGTCCGGCTCCAGGAGAGGTGAAGGAATGCTTGGCGCTGTTGCGCGAAATGCAAAGTAATTTTTTCAGGAGGAGGAAGGATGCTGAGGTTTCATTGTGAACCGACGGATTTGACCCGATCCACCCGGGGCCAGCGTGGGTGTTTACCCTGGAAACCTTGGTTGTCCATGCGTTCCCACAGGAGTCTGAACCCACCAAGTCGCCTGGTGGGTCGGGTCCGTCTGGCAGCTGTTCAGAGGTTGGATTTAGGGCGAGGGCGCATGCTGATTCCGCGGACACCTGCCGTCGGCTGCCACACTGACTAACACATGGTATGGGGCGTTGGTTTGCGAGTCCGATCCTGCGACGTACCCAGCTCTTTTTGAGCCCAGCCAGCTAAACATCACAGCTCAACACGCGAGGACACAGAAAGATCTGCAGGGGACCTCAGGGAGGGCGGCACCAGGGCTATGTTGTGCGATCTTTGAGACCATCTTGGCCTATCCAGGGCCATATATGAGCCGTCTATGGGTAAGGGTATGACTTCTCGCGAAACCCTGGTCCCGACCCCGGGGGAGAGGTTGAGGGAGGGCATTCCCGCCCCGGAGGAAAAGAGGGGGGTTTGAAGACTTGAGCTCGCCAAACCATCTACGCCCCGAGGGCTGGCGGGATCTGTCGGGTCCACAGCATTGCTGCCATCTGCTTGAGCATCTGCTCGCTGATACCTACTCTTCCTCTCTTTTCTCGTTCCCTTCCCAGGCGATTGAACGTCCGCGGTCCTATGCTCTCCCCGTTAGGACAGTGCCTGCCAATACTTTCTGATTTTTCGTTGGCACAGTGCCCATTGGTTCTGCGATGTGTCTCCCGCCTCTTCCACACCCGCGTGATTCATGACATGTTTCTGGGGGGCCAGAAGCAGATACGGGTCTTATTCTCTCTGTGGGCCTCTACTACTTCAGGCTTCCAGTCGTCGGAGAACTGTCTTGAACGAGGGGCCGTGGGTTGAGCTGGCGACCGTTCAATGTGGCCCAACGCCGCGGCCATCACTCGGGCTGGGCGCACGCGCTATCCTTGCGGGCACACGTTCTCGAATGCCACAAGGAGCTAAATTCCCAGCGCCACTGCATCACGCGTCACCAGCCGGTCCGTCGAATCCAGTAGTGTTCGTTGTTCCCATATTCGAGAATTGTAGGCTTAGTGTGTGCTACTTGGTGATGCATGTTTTCCACAACGAAGTCTGGGATCGAACAACGCCTGTCTGCGTCTGGCGATTACCCATTTACACTTACGTGGAAAGTGCTGCTTCGATCTCGACAGGTGGGTAAGGATTAAGTATAAGACTGCTCAGTTTGGAGCGCGTGCTGTCTCCATCGTCCTGATGTTTTGTCCCTACTCGTTTCCCTCGACCTCCCACCCCTCATTTTCGTCCTCTTTTTTGCTTCCGTCTCATCATCGTCCACGTCCACCTCTGCAGCCCTTTTGGCTAAAACCTGCTTGGCCCTGCTTCGCTGTTGAGGGCTGGGACGCCCTTCCGTCACTTCTGCCCTGTCCGCCCTTGGGACAGACCGAAGCGGCTGAACATGAGCCGCGCGGTGTTGCAGGTCCGCCGGGCGGCCACGGTAACAAGGATAGTGATCAGAGTGAGGGGCCGAACGGTCGTCGTACACCTTGCATTGTCCTTGGGTGCGTGGCTGAGGATCGGTTCCGCGGCGGGGCCAAGACGCGACCCGCCGATCGATTCGCCCGCCGACCCGCCGAAGATCCAGCGGCGACCCACTCACATCATAGTTTGAATCAAATCGGCGGCTGCGGCTGGCTCGTTATGCTAGAGAACACGTTCCTGCGGCGAGCTTATTTACAGTTGCTTCGAGCCTCGCAGCATGCCGACGACTCCCGCCCCCTCTTATCCGCAAGGGCGGGGACTATGGTGTTCAGTCCTCCCTCCCTTGCTTTGAGATTTTGGCAGGAACACCTAGTCCCGGACGCGATTGCGGCTACGAGGGAGTGGCCGCCCGAGCTGCTTGCCGCAGGCATCGGTGGCGACTGCATTTGCAAGCAATATGGGCGCATCAGCCCGAGAGTTGGTTCCGAGCAAGGTTTGTGAGTCGCAGGGGACATCTTCGCCGAGTCGCGCGAGCGAGCGTGCATGATGGCGGTCCCCAAATCAAAAGCACAACAGAAATCACCGCTGGCACAGATGTCACTACTGACAACAATGTGGTTGGGCTGGCTTTCACCGCAGGCGCCGAGTTGGTTGAAGCAATGTCGCTGGGGGGCACACCTGGATTTGTTGTGGGTTGCAGCGCGCATGTCTTGTGGGTCGCAGTGCCTGCGTGCGACGTATTTTCTTGTGGGCTGCAGCGTGGCTGGTTTGCATAGCGGGTGGGTCGCGGTGCGGGTGGGTTGCATGTGGGTCGCGGGTAGGTCGCGGCGTGGATGGGTCGCAGGTGGGCCCTTGCGTGGGTGGGTCGCGGATGGGTCGCTTGGCGGCGACGAGCAGAGGAACACCGGCAATTCGCGCCAGACATCCCCACTTCGGCCATGCACCCAAGGGCAGCGTAAGACCGTTCGGACCCCTCACTCCGATAACAATTGAGAGGGAAATGTGTCTACATCCACGGCCTCGCGGGTCAGATCTCTCGGCCGCAAGCCCAGGGATACAGGGCGGCTTTGTGCGGATGCCCCGCGCGGAACGTATTTTGGGATCGCGAGTCCAGGGGATCGCTTATCGGTGTCCGGACCACGAGGGCATGGATACGGATATGTTCGTCGCTCGTGAGGACAGGGCGGGGGAGGGGGGGGGGAGCCAGAGTCATCGTCCGCTGTGGGGCTTAGCGTTCAGCTTCCCCGAGGTCTTCGAGGAGTACCAGAAGGCACGGGTCACTTTCGTGCAGACTGTCGCCGACTTGGCCACGCGCCCCCAGAACATCGACGCGCTGCAGAATGCGGGGGTCATGGCTCTGCTGAGGCAGGCCTCTGCTGGGGTAGAAAGGAATAGACGCACACGGGAGCGTCGGGAAGAACGTCGAAGATGCTCCTCCTGTTCATCCTTATCTTCTATCTGGAGGGGTGTGTGTTAGGCTCGTCTGGTGGGAGAGGGGGAGGGGGAGAGGCGGAAACGAGTAGGAACAAATTGTGCGATCTCTGCGCAACGCTGGGACCGACTCGAGGCATTCGTTCCGACTTCTCTGCCCAGAGCATCAAAGCATGGACTTGCCCAATGATTCCGCGACGTTTGGGGAAAGTCAAGAGCGCCGCAGATGAATGGGTCCCTCACTGGCACTTCAGTCAGGAGCAGATGTGGTGACAGGGGCAACGTATCCTCTCCAGTTTTGACGTGCTACGATGTCCACCTGAACGTACACATTGCACCTATCGTGCGTCCGTCCGCCTTTCAACTACGAGGAAAACCGCAGCGGAGCACGTGGGGTAGCGGCCCCGCGTTTGCATGAGTTGCCTCATTTGCCCCGCAGGACCAGGGCCAGGCAAGCGTTTGCCCCTTCCTCCCCCCCCGGAGCTGCTACCTAGTCGCGCCCAGTCGCGCTGCTACCCCCTTTCGACCGCCGTCGCGCGTACCCAGTCGCCCGCTCAGAGCTCGGCTGCAGGTGCGCCGCCTCTCACCGCGGTGATCAGGCTCGCCTGGCGCGGCCCCAGCACCGCCCTGGTGTGTGCCGCTGCCCGACCGACGCAGCCCGCCAGGCCACCTGGTAGCACATCCATGATGTGCGGCCTTGAGAATATACACCACCACCGCGTCGATTCCTCCTCCCTCGTCCTCCCTCCTCCACCCTCCGCCTCGGCGAGGGAGGGGATGAGGGAGGTGGGGGTGGTGTATACCTTTGGGCCCCGCATCATGAGCAAGCGCGTCGGTCCGGCTCGATGTATCGACCCGATGCTGGGCCTCGTGGCACATCCGTCAGGAACATGCGCGCTGCCAACAGGGCGTCGACCGTTCGCCCGCTGCTCGCCCAGCGCCATCGGCGGCCACGGGATACCCAGGAGGAGGGAGGAGGAGGAGGAGGAGGAGGAGGAGGAGGAGGAGGAGGAGGAGGAGGAGCGAGGAGGAGGAGGAGGAGGAGGAGGAGGAGGAGGAGGAGGAGGAGGAGGGCTCCCCGTCGGCGGAATCGTCCCCAAGGCTGGGCCGCCGGCGGTGACCCGCGCGGGGGGGCGCGGGGTACCCCTGGCCGAGAGCAGTGGCCGGGAGGCGGGAGGGGGCGGAGGATAGATTGCCTCGGGGAGGGTGGGGGGGAAGGCGGCGGCGGAGGGGAAGATGGGGAGAAGGGGGCGAGGACGAGCAGGAGGGCGGGGGGAGCGGGACGACGGTGAGGGAGGTGGTTCAGGACGGAGGAGGCGGAGGATGGAAGGGGGGGGGGGAGGGGAAGCAGAGGAGGCGGATGGGAGGACAGAGAGAAGATGGGGGCGCAGGTGGGGGTAGGCGGAGCAGGTGGAAGAGGAGGAGGAGGGTGCGTTGGAGGGGGGTGGGCGTTGGAGGAGGGGAGTGGGAGGAATAGGGATAGGGGGAAGAGGATTTGGAGCAGGATGTGGAGGAGGACGATAAGGGAGGTGGTTTCGGAAGGCAGTGGAGGACGAGAAAAGCAAGAGGAGGAGGAAGAGGAGGAGGAGGAGGCGGAGAAGGGCGACGCGGACGAGGAGAAGGAGCAAAAGCCCTCCTCCTCCTCCTCCTCCTCCTCCTCCTCCTCCTCCTCCTCCTCCTCCTCCTCCTCCTCCTCCCCCCCATTCCCCCTCGTGTCCCACCGACTCCCCCCTCTCCTCCTGCTTCCCCTTATCCTCGCCCCCCCCGCCCTCCCGCTCTCCCTCCGTTTCTTCCTCCCTCCCCTCCCCGCCTCCCTTCCCACCCCCTCCGTCCCTCCTCGTTCCGCCTCGTCCCTCGCCGAGGCCCCTGCTCCTCGACAACGTCGCGTCGATCCAGCAGTCCGCCGCCCTGGCGCTCGGGCGCCTGGCGAACTACAGCGACGAGCTTGCCGAGTCGGTGGAGACCAGTCGTCGTCATCGTCGTCTGCGTCGTTGTAGTCGTCGAGGTTCGACCAGCTGTTCTCCACCATTCTGACTTCAGAGTCCGATTTCGGGCCCCAGGAACATCAAACGTCGAGCCGGGAGGAAGAATTGCCAAGGATGGGCCCCAGAGGAGGTTTGGGGAGCGATTCTGAGCGGATCGGGGTCCAGGGTCGTCGTCGTGGTCAAACGGCGAGGAGGATGAGGCTGAGAAAGGAGACCAGGGTCATTAAACCCAGGATGCATCACCGATGCTGCAATACAAGCTCCCGTCCCAATTCCACTTCTATAGGTCCCTGCACATGTTCCCTTCCACTGCTGGACGCGCCCCCCTTGAATGACGAGCGCCCAGTGGGGTTGCCACTCTGGCGAGACCAGTGTTTCGTAAAGTATCCAGCCCCCATCGTCTTAGGTCGAAGACGCACAAAGGTATGATATCAAAGGCCAGGGATGTTTGCAGCGACAGCCCCTTTTGATAATCATTCGCCATACATCCGTATAAGGGTTGCATGTTCGCAGGTCTGGTCATACAACCGTGGAAGTCTCAAGAAGTCTCAAGCGAGAGGCCCACTTTAAACAGTAACCGCCCTCCATCCATACCCGTAACTTCTGTGCAGTCTGGAATTCCGGGTCGCATGTGTTGAAGAGGTCTCACATGAGAACCAGATGTGGTAACGCGCCCGACTTGCCCCTTGTAACTTGTATGTGTAAGAAGTCGTTTAAAGTGAACGCGCGCAGCGCTAAGGCAATAGCCACATGTTTTCAACGGCTTGTCCTCCATCCTTTTAGATGTTGTAAGCTTTCAAGTCACATGTGCAACGAATGCGCGTGGCACTGAGGCGAGAACTGCTCTGTGAAAACCGCCGGCCCTCCATCCGCATAACTGCTGGAGCTGCTCAGTTTCAGGATCGTAAGCCGCAAGCAAGTCCCAAGCGAAACGCACGGCCCGACCTACGGGCAGGTTGGGTGAGGCGACAGGAGGGAGTTCTGCATGAGGAAAGGGACGGGGGAGAAGATGATGGTGGAGGAGGCAGGGCGAGGGGAGGAGGAGGGGGACGAAGAGGGGGGGACGGGAGAGGATGGGGGGAGGTAAGAGCGAGGAGGAGGAGGGCGAGGAGGGTGGAAGAGGGGGCAGGTGGTAACCCACGAGATCTTGCCACAGCTCGTCTACTCGCTCTCGCAGCAGAACCGCTTCTACAAGAAGGAAGCGCCCGACGAAGTGGGCGACCTGTCCATCCCACCCCCTCTTCCCCCTCTGTCTCATTTCAACCTCTCCCTCCTTCCTCCTTCCCCCTCCTTCCTAGTCCGTCGCCATCTTGGGTCATGCTCAGTGGACGCTGAGCAGGACGCGGTGGGCCGCTGGCGAGGGATGATCTCGGCGGCAACATGGCCGACCTTTTGGAGCAGCTGGCCGGCTTGCCTGTCGCCCATATGGCTTTCGGGGCAGCGCCTGCGGCCTTGGGGGCATCAAGCAGAGGGCGACTGCGATCACTGCGGCGGCACGCGGCGCGGCCAAGAGCGCCGCGTGCAATGCGGCGGTTGGCCCTTGTGCAGGTGCACGTGGACGAGCATGTAGCCCCGCGCGGGTCGTCGAGATCCTGGACGGCGTGCAGTACACTCTTGCGGACATGGGCGTAGCTGGGGTGACACTTGCCAAGGCTAGCCATCGCGATGCGGGGCGGTCTGATTTGGCGAGCCGCTTCAGCAAGTTCACGATGGTGCGGAACTGCGTCGCCAACAAGGACGTCAAGCTCCAAGCGGCCATCAATGATACCTTTGATGGGAGGGACCCGGAAGATAGGAAGTACCGCGGCGTCAACGTCAACGTCACGGAATCAGTGTAGACCCAAAAGGCCGAAGAGCTGCGGACTCAGTGCCGCCGAGCTGGAAAGCTCATGTCAGTGACAGGGATTGTTGGGTGTAGACTTCCAATTCGGCGTCGCCGTCGCCATGTCTTGTTGAATGTGATGAAGAGCGCCAGCTTCAATATAGCTGTGCTGGCGGACCACTTCACGCTGCAGGAGTTGAAGGCCGTCGCATTCGGCGTCTCTGACCTGAAGGACTACTTCACGCTGCAGGAGACGAAGTGCTACGGCCTCAGCATCACGGAGCTCAATGGCCACTTCATGTTGCAGGAATTGAATGGTGTCGCCTCCGGTGTCTTCGAGCTGAAGGGCCATTACACGCTGAAGGACATGAAGGGCTGCGACGTCACGGTTGCTTAGCTACGGCCCCCTTCTCATTGCAGGAGATGAAGGGCCATTTCATGCTGAAGGAGATGCTCGACTGCGATTTCGGCACCGCTGGGTTTAAGGACCACTTCTGGCTCGACGAGATGGTGATATGCGGCTGCACCGCCTCGGAGATGAACGGCCACTTCACGCTGCAGGGGCAGGAAGGCATCGCCGAGCTGAAGGACCACTACTCGCTGAAGTGAATGAAGGGCTGCGGCGTCCCCGTCATGACACCGAGGGGCCACTTCTCGCTGCGGGGGCTAAACAGTGTCGCCCTCGGCGTGGCCGAGCTGAAGCGCAGTTTCACGCTGAAGGAGAGGATGCACGTTGGCTTCAGCGCCGCCGACCTGAGGTTTCGGTATCTTCTTCTCTCCCTTGCCTCTTCCGCCCCGCACTTCACTAATCGGGTGGATTCTGGTGGGGACGCATGCTACGGCACTTCTCAAAGTCGGCAGTTCAGTTCGTTGCCGTTGACTGGTATGTCCTTGTCCCTGCGGTGTTTTTGCGATCATCTGCGTCCTCGGTCGGTCCCACTCGTGGTCGCGTTCTGGCCCTCGTTGGGCTCGTTTGCGGACCCTCGTTCGGTTTCCCCCGTCGCGTTTGCAGGGTGGCTGAAGCTGGACGTCAACCCACGTCCAAATACAACGTCTCCCCCCCTCCCTCTCTTCTCCCTCCCTCCCCCCTCCCCCTCCCCTGCCCCTCTCCTCTTGCTGTCTATCCTCCCCCTACCTTCACCGTCCTCGTCCTACCTCTTCTCATCCTGCTCCTCCACCTCGCTCTTCCCGTTGACGTGGAGGGGGCGGATATGGAGCGGGGAGGATCGAGGCAGGGGGGGCATGCGGAGGAGGAGGAGGAGGAGGAGGAGGAGGAGGAGGAGGAGGTGGTGGGAATGAACACGACGAGGCAGGAGAGGAGGAAAACGAGGAGGAGGAGGAGGCGGCGGAGGAGGCGGATCAGGCCGCCCAGGATTAAGACGACCGATGTGAAGGAGTTGAAGGGAGGGGGGGGGGGAATTTCCAGGTCACCTCTGCCCGATGTTGTCTGCATCTGGTGTCTCGGGGACGTCCCCGCCCCTCTTCGGACGGGGCTAGGACGGGCATAAATCCGTTCAGAGCGCGTCGGGACGCTCTGAGAAGGCCGCGGCGCCCGAGACATCTTCCAGAGCCGCCGGATCTCGGAGATTCTCGATTCACCCGTACCCGATGTTGTCCTCGTCCTGGTTTCGTCATGCCTCTCGTTTGCCCTCCCCCCTCCCCCGGAAGGGTGGCACGGGGGGGGGCCCAGTGCGGAGGGCAAGCGAGGCCCGACAGGCGGGGCTGGGCGTGTGGGCCCCCGAGAGGCCGCCGCCTTCACGCTCCACGGCGACGTCGTCGTCGGCATCGTCGTCGTCGGCGTCGGCGTCGTCGTCGTCGTCGTCGTGGTGGGCGCCGGCGTCGCCGTCGTCGCGAGGCCGCGGCCTTTGTCCTCCGCGCGGTGTCGAAGCACTCGCCGCAGCTCTCGCAGGCCGTGGTGGACAGCGGGGCGTTGGAGGCCCTCGTCTCCTGCCTGGAGGAGTTCGACCCCTCGGTGAAGGAGGCTCGCGCGCGGTCGCGGTGGAGAAGACGAGCCTCGTGGGTCGAGGGTTCGGGGTCCGGGGTTTCTTGGAGAGGTTCGGGGCATCTGGGGGAGCCCTCTGCAGAGTTCTCTTCTCCGCGGCTGGACTCCCTGCAAGACTCTGGCCGGAGCGCACTCCAGGACGGGTCCTGGGGTCGAGTATCTGACCCCCGAGCCGAGGTCGTCATGGCGCAGTGGGGTCTTGGAGGAAAGGGGTCCTGGATGCGCGTCCTCGTTTTCGGCCTCCTGGGCCCCAGGGGCCCCGAAGTGGTCGAAGAACGATGCAGGATACAGGACTGGTCCCGGGAAGGGCCCTTGGCTTCAGGACCTGTTCCCTCGGGGACCAGTTCCCCCAACACCAAGCATGGAGCTTTGAGATTGAGGGGTGGGGGGGGAAGAAGTAGGAGGATAAGCTTGGAGAAGTCCGACCCCTCGGTGAAGGAGGCCCGCGCTTTGGGGGAGGGCTGGCCCCCCGCCCCATGGGGAATAATCGGGAGATCCAGAGCTCCTCCCCACCCATGACGATTATCAGAGAGGGGGCTCGGAACTCTCCCCCCCCCGGACACGGGGCTCGGGACCCCCCCCATCCCCCCTGTGGAAGTTGTTCGGGGGCTCGAGACTCCCCCCCCCCGCAACGACGACAACGACGCATGACGCACGACGCACGGCGACCAGGACGACGACGACAACGACGTCGACGCCGGCGCCGACGCCGCCGCCGACGATGACGACGACGACGACGACGATGACGACGACGACGACGGCGACGGCGACGACGAAGACGACGACGACGATGGCGACCACACCACCACGACGACGACGGAGACGACCACCACCACCACGATGCCGACGCCTTCGCCGACGACGGCGGCGGTGACGACGACGACGCCGCCGCCGCAGACAACGACGTCGACGATCACGATCACGACGACGACGACGACGTTGATGGCGACGACGCGACGACGACACCGACGCCGACGGCGACGAGTGACGACGACGACGACGACGACGACCTCGATGGCGAGACGACGACGACGACGACGACGGCCACGACGCTGACGTCGACGACGACGTCGACGCCGACGACGACGCCAATGACGACGACGCTTACGTCGACAACGACGACGACGGCGATGACTCAGACGACTCTGAACAGAGTTGAGCAGGCCTAGAATAGAATATAGTTGGATAGTGGGTGGAGAAGAGGCGAGAAAGGTAGGGTTGGAAACTGTAGAGCAGAGTCGGACAGAGTAGAGTAGAGTAGAGGAAAGTGGGGAGCTGTAGTTCGGTTTAGGACAGGCAGAGTAGAGTAGAGTAAAGTAGAGTTGAAATAGTGTAGAGTCGAGTCGACGAGAGTCATTGATGGGTAGGGAAAGGTTGCAATAGTGTGGAGTAGGGCAGAGCTGATAGAGTAGGACTCGAAGAAGAGTAGAGCAGAGGAAGAGTGGGAGGAAAGTAGAGCAGAGTAGAGTATGTTAGGGTACGGTTGTGTAGAGTAAGGTCGAGTAAAGTCAGGCAGAGTAGAGTAGAGGAGAGTAGAGTAGAGTAGCGTAGAAGAGGAATAGAGTAGAGAAGAGCAGAGTAGAGAAAGGTAGAATAGAGTAGAGTCGTGTAGAGTAGGGTAGCGTACAGCAAGGCCTCAGTAGGACGTCCTTAGAGCGGGATCGAGCCCTGGTGGCTATCTATCAGAGCTGGCGGCTGGCGCTGGCTCCGGCGACGACCATGACGACGACAACGACAGACGACGCACGAAGCACGACCTCCACGACGCCGACGCCGACGCCGCCGTCGACGACGACGACGCCGACGACGCCGACGACGACGACGACGGTGACGACAGCGACGGCGACGCTGAAGACGACGACGACGACAACGACAATAACGACCAGAGTATAGTAGTTGTAGAGTAGAGCGTACCAGGAGTAGAGTAGAGTGGAGTAGGGTAAGGTTAAGGTCGAGTCGAGTAGAGTAGGGTGGGGCACGGTAGGGTAGAGTAGAATAGGGCAGGGTGGAGCAGGGACATATACATCAAATTACAGTCGGGTAGAGCCGAGTAGAGAATATTGAACGGCTAGACCAGAGCAGAAATAGAGTAAAGTAGAATCGGGCAGAGTAAAGTAGAACCGATTCAAGAACAGTAGGGGTAGAGTAGAGTAGGGTCAGAGTAAAGTAGTGCATGGTCGAGCAGACATAGAGTAGAGCTGATCCGATTACAGCCGGAGCAGAGTAAAGCAGGATCAAGGTACATTAGAGTAGGGTGTGTTAGGGTACGGTAGGTCATGAACTCGAGCATTTGGTGACGAACAATTGGCTGGTGCATACTCTCGAGAGGAGGGGGCGGCGTCCTGAGAGCAGTACCTCTGACCATTTATGTTGTTAAAAAATCATGCCTCATAAAAGCGGGTCGAGTAGAGTAGGGTAGAGTAGAGGGAAGTCGAGTCGAGCAGAGTCGTGTAGAGTAGAGTAGGGTAGAGTACAATGGGAACCCAGCACGATGCGGAGAGAGCTTTGTCGAGGTATCGTAGCATTCTATCAGCGGTTGCCGCAGCCGCTGACGCTGTCGTCGCCGTCGGCGGCGTCGTCGCCGACGGCGTCGTCGTAGGCGTCGTCGTCGTCGTCGTCGTCGCCGCCGCCGCCGCCGTCGTCGTCTTCGTCCTCGTTGTTCCCTGGAGGGGGGTGTTTTGGTTCCCCAATGTTTTTCCGGGGGGGGGGGGCACGGCGACGAAAAAGGGACAGCACAAACAAATATGACAATGAGCGCACAGGCCGGGATTTTAGGAGGAAGAGAAAGAAGAGGATTGCGCGCGGACGCTGGAGGTAGGTATTCAGCGCTCTGGGGAGACAATCAGGATCAGGAGGAGGGGAAGGACCTGAATAACCCCGAACAGGATCAACGATGCTGCAATACACCCTCCCGTCCCGGGTCCTCTTTTCAGGTGTATTTGCAAGCGTTCTTCTTCATGACACGAGACGCTGCACCTCATGGGACCGAAATTCAAGCGGGCGGTTCGTTTCGAATGTAATGTGCTTCATTTTTCGAGGTTACAGAAAGGCGACGAGGTGGCAACGTAAAATTGAAGGACGTGTCCGGCGACAGCAATGGTTCGAGAAGGAACCGTCCTGTATCCGTATAGTTGTTGTGCAACGTGTAATGTCTGACCATCGCGTCGGATGATGCCTCAGGCGAGACGTCGTTGTGAGATGGGGCCGCCATCCATGTGGTTGTTGCGCAGCTCAATTGCGCCGAGATCTCAGGCGAGAGGCCCACGTGGAAAAGGAAGCGCACTCCATCCGAGTAATTGTTGGATTTGTTGTATGACGAAAGTGTGCAGCGCCATTGCCAGAGACACATCCGGAAAACGGTGAGCCTTCACCTGCTGCAATGTTCAACATGAGAGCGCTCAGTTTCAGGCCGAGAGCCGAGAGCACCATATTCACAAACACTCGCTCCCACATCGTGTATGTTTTGGGTTGTGTAATAACCAGCGCGCGCGGTGCCCAGGCGAGAGCCACATTTTGCAAACCACTCGCCCCCCATCCGTGTATGTTTCATTTTGATTAGAGACGAGTGTGCGGGGTGCCCAAACAGGAGCCACATCATGAAACCCATTCGCGCCCCATCCGTGTCCATGTTCGGCATTGTATCCGGTTGAGAGTGCACATCTTGAACACCAGTCGCACTCCATCATCCAAAGTTACGGCTTGTAGACGGTCAGGAAGTTTCAGGCCACCGCCCTGACTGCCTTGACGACACGTCTAGTGGTGCGACCGGGAGGATTTACGTATTCAGACGAAAGAGGGATGGAGGTGGATGAGAAGGAAGATAAGAATCCCCTCGCAACCGCTCCTGTGCACAATGGTCGAGCAAGCCCCATGACGCATTCAGAGGTCCGTATCTGCAGGGAGGTGATCAGAGAAGAGGGATCAACCCACTGGCCCGCACAGAGTGCCTGCGTTCTGGCGGTGCCTTGACCTTGCTGCTCACTTTGATCCCGGTGCGCATGGCGGTGGAACCAGAGAGGACAACGTTGACGATGTCGCCTTGACACTTCATGTCGCGGGGCTGAAGGGAAGTGTCGTTGACGCAGCTTGCCTCAATGCCGACGTAGCCGGGCCAGACGAGCAGCTCGGGGCATTGACGGTGCGTATCGACGTCGAGGGCGAAGTAGCAGAACATGTCTTAGGCGTGGCTCACGATCTCGCGAGGCAGTGAGGAACTCCTTGAAATACGCCTCGAGGGAGCGGTCAGCGGTGGCAGCTGCTGGCCCCGATCGCGGCGGCCATTTGTTGACCACTCTGAGGCGCGCTGCACACGAAGTTGCTCGCCCCCTGGGCGGCTGGAGGAGGCGTGCTTGCATACCAGTGCCATGATTTTCCGCCGCATCTTGCTTCGCGCCGTTGTGCTGCTGGCCCCCCGCACGTGCTGGGTGATGTGGTGCGAGTGGCACTGCACGTTGCCCCGGTGGATGCACCAGTTGCGCTGGTAGATACCTGTTTTCCGTCGTCGTGGTCCTCGGCGTGGTACAGCTGTTCCGCGAGGAGATCCTCAAGAAGAAAACTCGGCAGTGGTCTGAACACCCTTCGCTATGCGGTCCTGCTTGTCCTGCTTGCTTTGCTCAACGCATGCTGCTTGTAATCGTGGTGCTCTCGAGTGGTGGAATGACGGAGTAGGAGGAGGAGCAGGAGCAGGAGGATGAGGAGGACGGCGACAACGATGACAGCCACGACTACGATGACGACGACGATCGAGGCCGCGGCCTGGGCGCTGGGCTACATCGCGCGCCACACGAAGGAGCTCGCCCAGACCGTGGTGGATGCCGGCGCGGTACCCCTGCTGGTCCTCTGTTTCCAGGAGCCCGAATTGACGCTCAAGCGTATCTCCGCCTCCGCCCTCAGCGACATCTGCAAGCATTCGCCCGAGCTGGCGCAGACCGTGGTCGACGCTGGCGCCGTGTCGCTGCTCGCGAGGGACATCTCCCACAGCGACGCGCCGCTGAAGCGGCAGGTCTGCTCGTGCCTGTCGCAGATCGCCAAGCACTCGGTCGACCTGGCGGAGGTGGTCGTGGAGGCCGAGATCTTCCCCCGCATCTTGCACTGCCTGAAGGACATGGACGAGTTCGTGCGCAAGAACGCGGCGACGTGCATCCGGGAGATCGCGCGCCACACGCCAGACCTGGCCAAGCTCATTGTCAACGCCGGCGGTGTGGCCGCTATCGTCGACTACATCACAGAGGCGCGCGGCAACAACCGCCTTCCTGGCCTTATGACGCTGGGCTACATCGCGGCGTTCTCGGAAACGCTCGCGCTCGCGGTCGTGGTCTCCAAGGGCATCCCCCCCCTGAAGGACGCCCTCATCAACGAGCCCGAGGACCACATTAAGGCCGCATCGGCCTGGTCGCTGGGCCAGATCGGGCGCCACAGCCCAGACCACGCGCGCGCGCTGGCCGAGGCGGACGTCCTTCGCCGCCTGCTGGCCGTGTACCTGCACCAAGACTCGAGTGAAGACCTGCAGACGAAAGCGAAGCGCGCCCTCAAGAGCGTCGTGCAGAAGTGCACGCACCTGCCAGCGCTCGAGCCGCTGCTCGAGGTCCGGGCCCCCCTCAAAGAAGACCTGTTTGGCCCAGACTTTGAAAATCCCGCCGGAAGAGAACGAATGATGGGGATGTGTCGGCCCGCGGCTGGCGTTTTCTCGGGCCCGCCAATGTCCTGGTTTATCACAGTCCCCCTTTAGAGGGTCCTGACGAGGCCCCCCCGAACATCCTGAAGTACGTTGTGCAGCAGTTCGCCAAGGTCCTGCCCAACGACCTCAATGCCCGGCGCACCTTTGTGCAGTCCGGCGGCCTACAGAAGATCCAGGAGGTGAAGGCGGAGGTCGGCTCGAAGCTCCATGACTACATCGACGAGATAAACATGCTGTACCCCCCGGAGATCGTCCAGTACTACTCCCCCAACTATTCCGACACCCTCCTCAAGAAGCTCGACGAGTTCAACCCCACCGGGTGAGCGGAGGGCCTCCCCAGCGCGCCGCGGCGCGCCAGCCCGCTCCGACCTGGGCCCGCCTTTTGCGGGTGGTGCGGACGGCGGCCGCATGGGTGCTCTGAGGAAGCGCCTCCTGCTCCCGCCCTCCGCCCCCCTTCCGTCCCGCCCCCCTCCCCCTCTCCGCATCTCGTACCCCCTCGGGATCACTACCCTGCTCGACATCCGACGATGCGAATTGAGAGGAGATCTGCGCCATGGTGCGGGATGGGAGGGAGGCTTGCGCACCCAGCTTGCCCTTCCCCCCCTCTCCTCTCTCCCTCTCCAGGGCCCCCCCTGTCGTCGTGCTTTCTCATGCTGCGCGGGCCCTCAGAGATTGCGCCTCCTGCTCCCGCTCCCTCCCGCCCCCCCCCTTCTCTCTCACCGCGCCCCCCTTCTCTCCTCTCTCCCTCTCCAGGGCCCCGCGACGTGGTGCTTGTTCACCCTCCGCTGACGCCCAGAGGCCTGGGGGTTGGCCTCTCACCCCGGAGCCGTGCTCCGACGGTCGACGGGCCGGGCGGGCCGCAGGTTGACATGAGTGCCCCGTGGTGTTCTTTGTTTGTGGTTGTCTGTTTTGCTTTGTGCTCGTTCTTTGTTGTTGTTGGTTCCACGACGTGTTTTGCTTCCCTCTGGCTTGGGCCTGCCTCCCCTCTCTTCCCGTTGCCCTGCCCTCCTCCGCCCTTCCCCGCCTCCCGCCTCCTCCTGGCAAGACAAGGGGCTGCGCGAAGACAGCTCCTGGAAGAAGTCCAGGTCAGACTCCGCATGCCCCCCCCCCGGACTACATATCTCGGGAGCCCGTGGAGGGCAGCCTGGGATCATTCCAGGGGATGTTGGTGCGCTGCCCCAGTGCCACCTGACCCCCGATGTTTTGAGAATAACAATGCGGAGGGTGTCTGCGTGTTCCCGCCATTGGGGAACCAATGGGCCCTGTAACTGTCAAAACTGGTTCAGGACGAAAGCCGGCTCTGGGGAAAGGGTCGCGATGTCAGGGGATCACGCAGTGAAGCAAAATTATACATCGGACATCTGGGCTCTCACCCCTTCCCACTACCCTTCTTGGAGAAAGAGGAGCGCTAACAGCAACAGCAGCTGCGCCAGCACCGCCGACGTTATGCAATTGGCGGCTGCGTCGTGTATCATGCGCAATTGTGGGTCCCCTCCTCGTTCGCCGATGGCATCCTCCTGGGACGCCCCTCCGAAGAGGCCGCATCCCTCTCCTCCTCGGCCTCCTCGTCATCCCAGCAGCTCCTGCGAGGCGGCATTTTCCCCCTGGACCCCTCCCCGCCTTACGGGAGGCGTCCGCTCGTTCCTCCCGCTCTGATGCACGTCCGTGCCCCCGTCCCAGCTCCCCATTCCTTCCCTCTCGGTCGTTTCTCGTCCCCCCACCCCCCCTCTCCCTCCTGTCCCCCTTTCCTCACCCTCCCTCCCTCTCCGCAGCCTTGTTTTTTGGCCACGGGCTTCCGCGGGTACGTTGAAGGCTCTTATGGGTCACACGGCGAGCTGGAAGCGGAGATGGATCGACCCGCTGGCTGTAATCGACCCTGAAAAATGCGTTTCCTTCCTTGAAGTGGCCGTACATCCGCGCCGCCTTCACCGAGGAGCTCCCTGCTCTTCTGCCCTGGACTTCGTGGATGCATCGCATCGCGAGCCTTCCACTGTGATCTTGCCGCCCGTGCAGTCGCTGCTCGTGGACCGCGGCGCCGAGCAGGGCGACCCGCTTGGGCCGCTGCTGTGCGCCGCGGCCCTCGCGCGGGTCCTGGCCCGCACCCCCGCCCAGGGGGGCGTGCCGTTCGCCGACGTGTGGTTCGTGGACGACGGCCAGATCGTCACCCGCGGCCAGCGTGGACCCGTGGCCGCGGGCGCTCGACGCCGAGGCCGCCGCTGCAAGGGGCGGCGCGTGGCCTGCTGGAGAACACGCAGAGTCGGCCGTGGCGGTCATCGCGCCGCCGGGCGCCGCCGCCGCGGCGCGCCCTCGCTGGGCCACGGACTACGTCCTGGCGTCGGTGGCGCCCCCGGGCAGACGGGCCAGGCCGCCACGTGCTCTGCGTCGATGTCGGCGGCGGCACGGTCAGCGAGCAGTTCCTCGCAGCAGCGGGCCAGGCTGTAGCCGTGCGCGACGCGCTAAACCTGCCGGAGGACACGTCCGCCGAGCTCGTGCTGATGCGGCGCTGCGCAGAGGTCTGCAAGGTGGTCCAGTTGCTCCGCGCAGCCGGTCCGACCCTCAGCGAGGAGGCGCTGGCTCGCTAGACGACGACATGCTCCGCCGCGCAAGGACGCGCCTGCTCGGCGGGCCGCTCGGCGAGGCGTCGTTGGCCCCGTGTTCTGTGGGCGTCCGCGAGGAAGGGCTCGGCCTTCGCAGGGCCAGCGACGTGGCCCTGCCAGCCTTCTCCGCTTCCCGCGTGGAGTCGCGGGTGCACGTGGTCAGCCTGCACGAGGCCCTCGCCGCGGCGGGATTCGAGGGGATCCCTCTGGTGGAGCGCTTCGACAAGCAGGCCGCCTCCCCATCTGCAGGCCTTCAAGGCGAGGCTGCCCCGGGCTGCCGCGGAGGAGGCCCAAGCCGCGGTCGACGACTGGGCCGCGAGCGGCGAACACCCAAGGGGCCGCGCGGAGGGCGCGCTGCTGGCCGGGGACGGCCTCATCCTGCCAGCCGGCGGAGGACCCCGAGCGGGCCCCGGACGGCCGTCTGCAGTCTCGCCTGTGCGCAGTGGCCGACGGCGTCGCGGCCGACAGCTTCTCTGCCGACCTCGCCGCGGCTGGCTGGGTTGTCGATTGCCGCCGCTTGCGGGAGCTCTGGGACCCTTCCGTGAGCCACGATTGGCTCTGGGCTCTCAATCCGGCGCACGGCCCGACCCTCGGGCGTGGGGAGTACATCACCGCGGTGCGCGTGCGGGTTGGCGCCCACGCCATCGACGTCGAGATGCCATGCCCGCGGTGCGGCACAGGAGCGCTCGACCGGGCGTGCTCCCACGCTCTCCAGTGCGCCAGCCCAGAGGCCACGCGAGGCCATCACGAGGTTCGCGATCACGTTTTGGCGCTGGCCCACCTGGCCGACCGCCGAAGCCGAAGCTCCTGGGCTGATACCGTCAGCACCACTGCTCCGCCCCGCAGATGTCCTGACCAGCGCGGCCCTCGTGGGTCGCCTGGCGGCTCTGGATGTTGGCGTGTGCAGCCCGGAGGCTCAAGGCGCTGGCGATGACTGGTGCGAGGCCATGCGCGCCCGCAAGCTCGACGACTACGGCAGCCACCTTGCGGAGCTGGCGGCGGCGGGCATCACGTACGTGCCGATCGTTTGGTCCGCCTGCGGCCGCGCCCACCTGGAGGCGCAGGCGGCGCTCCGGTCGCTGGCGCTGCGGGCCACGCCGCGCCGCGGGCTGCGCTGCCACCGGCCATCGGCGTGGCCATCTGGCGCCAGGCAGCGGCCATGCTCCACGCCTGCCTCCCCGAGCTGTCCCCGGAGGAGGAATGCCTCCTCTTCAGCGAGGCGACGCCGGCCTGGGCGCGGGTTTGAGGCCGGCTCAGAGGTTAATGTTCATGAAGGAAGACATGGATCCCTCCCACTTTCATTCCCCCTCTTTCCGCCTCCTCCTCTTCATCCATGCCTCTTCATTTACTTCCTCATCCACCCTCGCCCTCCCTCCCGCTTCTCCCTGACTGGGTGGCCCTGAGGGGCCAAGCTTGCGCCCGCCCCCCGTGGGGAGGAGGTAGAGGAGCAGGAAGAGGCGGACGAGGAGCGGCTCCCCCTCATCCACCTCCCTCTGTTGCGCCTTATCCTTCCCCCTCCTCTCGCCCTCCTCATGCCCCGAGCGTTTTTTCGTTCTGGTGCTCGCTTCCTCACTTCTTCCTGTCCTGCCTCATCCTCCAACCCCCTCCCTCCTTCCTCGTTCCCCTCATCCTTCCGCCTCCCTCCTCCGTAATCGTCTGACATCCTCCGGCCTCATCAACTTTCTCCTCGGTTTCTCGGTTCTTCGGTTTCTCGTCCGTGGCGCTCTCGCGCCCTTGCCGGGGAGGCGCGGGAGGGCCGCGCCTGGCAATGGCACGAGCCGGAGTCTTGCATCCTCCAGCCGCCGCCAGGCGCGTAGCGCCGCCCAGCACAGCGCACCCGCGCCCAGCTTGCGTATTTGATGCAGGCAGCGCTCGATTCAGGGCCAAGGAGGAGGGCCAGAAGCGCCGCGGGCCTCGTCGTAGCGGACGCAGCGCCGATGGATGCCCACAGCTCGAGTCGCGATTCCAAGGTCCGCCCGCCCGCAGGCGAGCAGCGCGCGGGAGACGTCCACCTCAGTGCTGGGACATGCGCCGCAACAGGGTAGGACCAACGGCGCGTCCTCCTCACCCAAGTCTGGCAGTGGCCACCGGCGCGTCACCCAGCATACCGCCCAGTGCTTGTAGTACAGGTTTCCCCCGTGGTCCTCCTGCCACTCCTGGTGCATGTACTGTTGCTGGGCCTGCATCAATCTGCGAAGGCGAAGCTCCATACATGTTAGTGGCCGGCTTGTCGCCGCATCCACGGATGGCTGGTCATAGGCGCGCAAGGCAGGCAGCACAACCACTTGCCAGTGACGGCGTAAAACAGGCCGAGATGTTGGCGAAGATCTGGCTGCGTGGGCGGTGATATCGGGAAGACTTTCGTTTGGCATCACGGCCGTTGTTTGGCCTGCCACGCGCCACTTGGAGGGCGCCGGCGACGCACGGGCGGCATCCCGCATCATCCTTGCGGGATGTCCTTTCAGGGAGGACCAGAGCCTGGCGCGGGCCGTGATCACTTGTTGGAGCATGAGGTGCCCAGCCTCAGGTCCCACAGGGATTGGAGCCGCGAGAAACTCCAGTTCAGCATGGGTCCCCGCCTGCAGCCCAAGGCTGCCCTGGCCCAGCACGCCTGCATGTTGTTGAGGTCGGACTCAGCATTGGGCACTGCAGCAAGCAAAGCTGCGACTGACAATACGGTTGGTGCAACTCACACAAGCACTGGAGCAGCCAGGACTCCCATTGCGAAGCCGCCTGCTTCCGCTGCCATGCGCCCTGATCCCCCAGGCCCGAAGTCGAAGGCAGCCTTGTACCTCCTGGCATGTTCCGCCGTGGCAGAGGGGACAGGCTGGTCCAGGATGGTTCCGGTGGCCCCCGCCGACGGGCAAGCTGCAACCCCGTCGTCGATATGTCCAGCCCGTGGAGCCCCGCGCACTCGACGACCGCAAGGCAGCCATAAAGGGCCGGTCGCTGCGCCAAGACCTCCGCCGCAGGCACAACTGGACACCCATTATGTATCTCTCGCGGGCCACTCTCCTGCACACCTGCTGCGCCTTCGCTCGGATCGCTCTCGGCCCAGCTGGGGTCTCGGCCATCTGGGCACTTCGCGTGGGCCTCCACCTTCCTCCACGTCCTCCTCATCATCGTTCCTCATCCCCCTCCTCCTCCTGCCCCCTTCAGCTCCTTCCCCCCTTCTGCCCCCCCCCTCACGACGACGCCGACGCCGACACGGCCGCCGCCGACGGCTGCGGCTGCTCCGCCGCTGGCAAGGGCGCCGCCGCCGCCGCCGTCGGCGGCGAGCGGTCGCGGCGAAGACGGGCCAGCGCGGCACGCCAGGTGGACAGCCGCGTGCGCACGCTGGTCGAGCCGCTCCGCGCGTGCCGTGGCCGCGGGGCCTCGCCTCGCCGCGCGCGCACGCGCGCTCCCGGGGTGGCGAGGCCCCGCGCGTCCCTGGGAGGCTTGCCCCGGCGGCGAGGGCCTCGGAGGGGGAGTGAGCCACACATTCCCCAGACCCCCAACGCGTTCAGCCACAGCAGAGACGCAGGCTTTTCGCAGTTCTGGTCTTCTGGGCGCCCTCCCCGGCCCCCCTTGGCCGTGAGGAGCCGGCCCCGGGTGAAGCGCGGGCCCTGAGGAGAGGGAGGGCCGGGACTTCCGAGGACTCCGCATTCAGAGGACATTGTTTCGATCCAGAGGGATCACTTCCTTCATCGCGGATCCAGGAGGAGGCATAGTTACTTCATAGGTCGTGGGCGGCGCATCCCCACCGCTGAGAGCGGCCGCCGATTTGCGTGTTGCTCGCGGGAGGCAGCGGCTGGCCCGTCCCAGCTCCCGAGCACGGCTCGGAGAGATTGCGCGATCTGCGGAGGAGGAGGAGGAGGAGGAGGAGGAGGAGGAGGAGGAGACGGAGGAGGAAGGAGGCAGGACCGAGGTGGAAGAAAGGAAGGAAGGACGGGGAGAATTGGGAGGAGGGGGAAGGATGGGGCAGAGAGGAGGGATGCAATCTAGGTGCGTTCAAGCAACGTCTGACATCTTGCCCCTCTCACCCATCCTATGCCATGGCGTTGTTTTTCCTCTATCCTCCGACGCGTGTCATAGCGGACCTGGAATTCCAAAAAGGATTCCATCATGTTATGCGCAATCAGAGAAGGGGACCTGCGGACATATGAGGCATTCAAGAAAGGGCCTGGCCTCCGAGGCTCCAAGAAATTGATATCTCTTCGGCTGAAGGCGGCAGAAAGCCGGCGGCAGGCGGCGGAGGTAAAAGCGAGGCCGCCTTCGCTGGTGGAAGCTGGCGGAAGTTCGGCGGAAGCCAGCTGAAGTAAAAGTCGGCCTCCCAAGAGATGGAAAAGTTGTTTCGTCCAGGGCTCTTTAAAACCGACATGTGAGGAGGTGGAAGCGCAAGAGGATGATGAGGATGAGGATGGAGGAGGACGTGGACGAACTGCAGCAGCGGGATCTTGAGCGGAATGAGCGGGAGAAGCAGGCGGACCAGGGGAAGGCGGATGAAGGATAGGAGGGGGGCGACCACGATGAGGAAGGACTCGGATTCAGAGCAACAGGTCCCCGATTGGACGGGAGCGCCGCTCTGAATGACGAAAGCCAAGCGCCGATCCGAAAGTGAGGTCCAAGATTTGCGGGAAGATCTCGGGAAGATCTGGATAAATATTTGAGGGAGAAGATATGGGGAAATTTCGGCGTGCTCGCGCTGAGCCGTGCGTGTAAGGCCCGTATGCTATGATCTTGTTGTCTGTCAACGACCAGCATTGCTTGATGCATTCACTCACTCTCATCGTCCCCTGGTCCGTCTTTCCGATCTCGCGAAGCGAGACAGCGAACCAGGAAATTAGGACTGAGCGGTGGGACCCAGCGTTCAAAGCACGTTGTGCAGTCGCGACAGCACGTTGCGCGATTGTGGGGAAACATCTGGGGGAAGATCTGGGTGGAGATCTGGAGGACGATCTGGAGGAAGAGTTGGGGGAAGATCTGAATCAATATCTTGGTGAAAGCATTGGGGGAAACATAGAAGAAGCCCTCTCTGCATGCAGAGAGCGCGGAGGGGGGCGCGCGACTCTCGGGACGTCCTCGGAGGGGAGAGGAGGGTGTCACAGCCGGACCGAGGCATAAGATCGAGGTCGGTTCGGGGAGGGTGCCCTGGTGTTCTTCGTGCCTGCCGGATGCTGCTGTGCATCCCGTGGGGGGTATACCCCCGGATGCTCCTCTGCGTGCGTTGGCCGGCGGAGGGCCTCGCGCTCTTGAAGGATATGTTCTGTCCTGGGCCCGGCTCTGTTCCTGTGGAGCACGGGGTCCAGCTGGGGCCGCGAGTGCCCGCGAGGCCGCCATGCGCGCCGCCCCCCCGCGCGGGAGGGGGAGGAGGGACTAGGAGGACGGACTCGTGGAGACCCAGTCGAGGAGGAGGCGAGGAGGAGGCGAGACGAGGAGGAGGACCTGGAGAGGCCTGGTCGAGGAGGGACGAGGAGGAGGGACGATCGAGGAGGGACGACGAGGAGGGGCGAGGCGGAGGAGGGACGAGGAGGACGCGCCAGCGATGCTGCAGTGCACCCTCACATCCCGAGCCCCCCTCGCCAAGTCCCTGCAGGAGCTCCTCGCCGGATGCGGGTAGCGCCCTCCCTGCACGACGAGAGCTCGGTGGCCCTGCCACCTCCGGCGTGGCCCGTCCCTGTAGAGGATCCGCAGGCCACGCTTCGAGTCAGAGGAAAGGCAAGGATGCCATACGATGAAGCGCCCAAGGACATGCAAGGGTTTTGCTACAGAAGCCAGACAAAAAGGGAGCGCACGAAGCTTCAAACCCTCGGGTTTAGGGTGCACTCTTCGTTAGGAGTCAAGGGACGGTTCATCTCTGAAGCGCAAGTTCCCATGTGGGGCGCAGCCCAAGGCCGCATTGGCGAGCCACTCGGGCTACCTGCTGAAACATCCCAGAGATGCCCCTGTCAAGGGAGTGTCCAGCGGCAGCCCCGCTTCGAAAAGCATCGGCCCTCCACTCGTGGAAGTGCTGCGCGGAGTCGCAGTTATGGTTGCAAGGACTGCGGGAGCGTGAGGCGAGAGCCCCATCCTGACGAGGAGCCGCCATCCACCCGTGCGTGCAGCTGTGGCACACTCTGGCGTTTCGGGTCCTGGAGTTGGGTGGGATCCGCACTTGGAAGAGACAGGGGCGTGCGCAGCGCGGAGGCGAGAACCGATTTCCGAAAAGCAACATACGCTCATGTGTGTAATTTCGGCCCACCATCCAGTCAGCCCGCATCCTTACTATACGGGTTTTCTGTACTTGTAACTGTTGGAGTTTTCCTTCATGGTAGTGAGCCGTAAGGAGTTCTTCAGCGAAGCGCCTGGCCCGGGCCGCGGATACATCTGGTGGCGCGACGGGGGATGTCTTTATAATGGCGAGGCGTAGAGGTGGAGGAGGAGAAGGCGGAGGAGGAGGAATTCTTTGATCGTCGGGAAGTTTGTCTTCGATGTCGGCCTCCTGGGCCCGCTTCGGGCTCTAGGGCCCGCTGCGGGCTCCGGGGCGGTCCGACAGTCATCCAGGATGCAGCACATTTCAGGATGGACTTGTGGGGGATCTGGGGGCTGGTCGTGAACGGACTTCGGAGGAAGGAGAGGAGGGGCCGATGTTGGTTTTTGGAAGTTTTTGACACCAGGGGGTCACCCAGGAGGATCAGAAGGCCCTCAGGGGAGGATCAGGGAGGATGGTCGATGGTCGGGGATCGAGTTTCCAGGAGGGGGGGATCGAGGGTCAAGCGGTGAGGGAGCGAGGAGGGCGGGAACTCGAGTGATCGAGGATCGAGGGCGGGGAGGATTCGAGGGATGAGAGGATCGGGACCTCGCAAAGGGGGGGGGGCCACAGGGGGGGGGGGGGCAGTTTGGTCCGTTGGCGCATCGAGCCACAGAAAAACGCTGCAACACGAGGTATCCGGCCGTCGCCTGAACCCGAGAGGTGTCGACAATCGGGGCGCGCGGGGGGCATCGTTTTTCGGAAATTCGATGCACCAGGGGTGCGACAGGGAGGAGTGATCTAAGAAGGGAAATGGGTGGAAGAGAAGGAGGGGGAAAACGACGCCTAGGCCAAGGAGGACAGAAGGAGAAGGAACTCCAGAGGGACGACGGGGATTGGAGATAACGGGGGAGGAGCACGTAGGATCAAGAGGAGGACGATAAGGAGGAGGAGGAGGACGAGGAGCAGGAGGAGGATCAGCAGTAGGTGCAGCAGGAGGATGAGGAGGAGGAGGAGGAGGAGGAGCTGGAGGAGGAGGAGGACGAGGAGGCGCTCTGGCCGAGGACCCGAGGGGGATGCGCGCCTACCCCCCCCCCATGGCCAGACAGCGCTCTGGCGAGGCATCGGACCATGGAGGACCCGGAGCCCGCGCCGAAGACGGGAGGTTGCCCACCATTCGGGCGGCCCCGATCCTCTCTGCGGGCGCAGGAGGCCGCCGCCCTCGGCGCCTCCGCGGCCCGCCGTGCCGCGAGGCGCCGACGCCTCACTGCGGCCGAGGCGGCTGTGCGGCGGCTCGCGCACAGAGACGTCGTGGCCATGCTGCATCATGCCATGGTTGCCAATACTGAATGCCAGCAGGAGATCCGGGCGACCTCGTCTCGCCAGTCCGCCCCCGCACTCGTGCCGGACACTGTCGTGGAGGCGGCTGTGCTGACACCCATGAGAAACAGGCCGATGATTTCGTACCGCGTCAGCCCAGCTACTTGTGTTGCAAATTGGAGTCGCAGATCGGGCCAGCTCAAGCATGGGAGTCCACTGCACCTTCGGTTATCTTCCCCTTCGCCTGGGAGCCCCTGGCCGAGGACCATGCCACACGCACCAGCTGGACAGGGAGCGCGACACTGCAGGCTGAGGTGCGTTCCAAACAGGTGCCCATCAGGACAGCCGGGGAGGAGTGCGAGGGCGAGGACATGTACGGCTACGACTCATTCCTGCTCGACGCGCCTGGCCGGCCGCCTGGACGGTCACAGGACCCAGCCCCTACGGGCGCGCCATTCCGGAGAGGACCCGGCCTTAGGCCAAAAAACAAAAATAGATGGGTATCCCTCCGGGGCCCCTTCGGCGGCTCCCCACCTAGCCCTTCGGGCTATGTCGACGAGAACCCCGTGCCTCGAAACCTTACCCCGTTATGGCGCTGACGGTGCTGCCTGCCACGGACTACAAGCAGAGCAACTACGGGGCCAACACCAGAGCTACGCGGACCACGAGCAGAGCAACGCGGACCACAAGCAGAGCCACGACGGTCCCAAGCAGAGCTACACCGGCCACCAGAAGAGCTACGCGGACCACAAGCCGGGCAACGCAGACTACGAGCAAAGCTACGACGGCCACCAGCAGAGCTACGCGGACCACCCGCAGAGCTACTGCGGTCACCAGACGGCCACCAGCAGAGCTACGAGGGCCACGAGCCGGACTACGACGGTCACCAGCAGAATCACGACGGCCACCAGCAGAGCTACGACGGCCACCAGCTGAGCTACGCGGACCGCCAGCAGCGCAACGCAGACCTCAAGCAGAGTTGCGACGGCCACCAGCAGTCCAACGAGGGCCACGAGCAGAACCACGACGGCCACCAGCAGAGCTACGCGGACCACGAGCAGAACCACGCGGACCTCAAGCAGAGTTACGACGGTCAGAAGCAGAACGCCTACGGCGGCCAGCATAACTACGCGGACCTCAAGCAGAGCAACGCGGACCACAAGCAGAGCTACGACGGCTACCAGCAGAGCTACGCTGACTACAAGCAGCGCTCCGACGACCACCAGCAAAATCCGGACTACGACGGCCACCAGCAGAGCTACGACGTCTACCAGCAGCACTACGAGGGCCAAGGGCAGAGCTATGACGGCCACCAGCAGAACTATTCGGACCACAAGCAGAGCTACGACGGTCACCAGCAAAGCCACGCCGGCCACCAGAAGAGCTGCGCGGACCACAAGCAGGGCAAGCCGGACTACGAGCAGAGCTACGACGGCCACCGACAGAGCTACACGGATTACAAGCAGAGCGGCGCCGGCCACCAGCAGAACTACGACGGCAGCAGACAGCTACGACTGACCACGAGGGCGACCTGGAGGCGGAGGGGGCGGGCAGGAGGGCCTGCAAACTATCCTGGCGGGGAAGGGTGGCCGGAGGATACCAGCAAGGAGATGAAGACGGAGAGCGACGTTACTTTCTCAACTGGCCGCTTGCGTACGAGAAATGGACGCTATCTTATTAGAGGAGACAAACTGCAGGCCCACCAAGGCACGTCCGACTTCTGCGCGACCCTCCTCCTCGACATCATACGTACGGCTACCGAGTCGGTCGTAACGGATGTGCAGTTTACGTCTGCATTTGGTGAGCAAGTGCGCCAGTCCCTGAGCGACGCCGCCAGGATCCGCAACTACTTACGACTGCGTCTGAGAGCACGCTACGGCACGCTGCTACCCGAACAACTTTTCTTGTTCTGCTACTGGAGGCTTATTGTAACTCGCATGTGCAATACGATGACGGACCAACATCCAGCGGAAACGGCCATCAAGAGGATGGGCAAAAGGTGCAGGGAAAAACTACACTTTCAACCTTATCAAGAAGACGGACACCATTGTCTTCCGCGCCACTGTGGGATTCTGGATTCTCTGAGGGCTCCTCCTTCATGAGGGGGGTGGAGCGACCTACGACGTCAAATGGTTGCATTCCCCCCCCCGGGGCTACTACGATGCCATCCCCCTACGGTACGTGCGTTGCTTGGGTTCTGTTGGTGTCTTCTTAGGAGGACGGCGGAGGTGGGCGCCCGCGGTCGCGGGCGCGCGGCCGTTGCCACGTACCCAGGCAGCCCATGGCGCCGGGCACGGCCCGCCCTAGCGGTGGGCCGCCCATCGGGCGCGCGCGCGGCCGGTCGGAGAGGAGTTACAAAGTCAGCGTGCGGCGGCAGGAGGACGAGGACCAGGAGGATGATCAGCAGTAGGACCAGCAGCAGCAGCAGCAGGTTGATAATCATGAGGAGGAGGAGGAGGAGGAGGAGGAGGAGGAGGAGGAGGAATACGACGACGACGAGGCCAGACGACGGTGAGACGGACGGCGTGAACGAGGGCCTGGACGGGGAAGAGGTGGCGGAGGGAAAGGGCGCAGGACGAGGACAAGGAGAGGGGGGGGCGAGAGGGAGCCGCCCTGGTCTGGTGGAGGAACAGCATCAAGACGAAAACGAGGTCGCTCTTCGTAATCGTGGGAGACCATGGCCGCGACCAGGCCCCGTCTTCCTCCTCGTCAGTTCTCCATCACTCTCCTCCTGCTCCGTCCTCATCGTCCGTCCCCACCCTCTCCTGCTGCCACTCCTCATCCTTCTCTCTTCTTTGCCCCTTTCCTGCGCCTGTTTCTTCTTCTCCTGCCCCTTCTTTGGCAGGCTAATGCGCGATCCTTGCTCCTCCTCTGCCTTTTCCCCCCGTCCCTCTGTCGCCTGTCGATGGCGGCGTTGAGCTCTCCCGCGCTGGAGATCACGTCGAGGCCCCGCTTCCGAGGGGGGGACGGTGGCGGCGAGAAGTCCGCTGATTTCCTGAGCTGCGGAAGGGGACGACGCGAGATACGAGAGGGACGATGGGGGGTGCGGAGACGAGGGGGCCGCTCTCATCGCCGAGGCCCGTCTTGAGATGGTGGGGGGCATGCGGCGGCAGCAGCCCCCGGGTAGACGTATGGAGGGGCGGCACCTGCAGGCGATCCTCCTCCGCCGCCCTCCGGTGGTCCCTCGCGCCTCCGCTCTCCCTCGTCAGGGCGGCGGCACGAGCGCAGCCGCTTGCCGGGGCCTCTCGGGCCCGAGAGGGTCTCGTCAAGCGACCCGTTTTTCGCGGCGCTGAGCTGGGCGTCGTGGCGGCCAGGTCGGCGGAGGGCGGTGCGTGCTGGGCGCCAGCTCGCCATGCAGCGTCGGGGAGGGGGGTTGGAGGAGGGCTGGCGGTGGTTGCAGGGGCCGTGGGCTACCACGTCGTCTGAGGGCCGTCGGTGGGGGGCTGGGGTGACTGTGGCCGCCGGGGTGTCGAGCTGGCCGTTGGGCCGGCCGTCGTCGGGGCGGGGCCCGTCGGGTGTAGGCCGCGGGTCGGGCCATCGAGTTGGCCGTCTGGCGATGCCGCTCGGGCTCCTCCCGTCCTCGCGGGCGTGGGCGTCGCCGCCATTCCCGAGGTATCCCTGTCTGATTTTGTCCCTGTCGTGGCTTCGTCTTCACATTGCACTGCGCTTGCGTCGGGTGGGCCGCCTGGCGTCGCGTGGGCTTCCGTTCGGACCGCCGCGGGAAGGCCAGGCTTGGGCGTCCCGCGGGCCCTGCGTCGCGGCGTCGCGTCAGGCGGCGTCGCACGGGTCTGTCCCGGCTTCGTCTTCATACTGCCCTGGCGTCGCGCGGGCCCTCTTTCGGGCCGTCGCGCGAGGTGCCCCCGCGCCCTGCGCCTGCCGGCCTGGCGATGGGGCGATGGCCGTCAGGCTGGCCGTCGGCAGGCAGGTCGATGCCCAGTAGAGCCAGCGTCGCGAGTGCGCGGTGGCTCGCTAAGCCTCCCAAGTCAGGCCCACTCACAGGGGGTCGGAGGATCGAGCCGCATCGCCGAAGCATCATGTGCGTCCCGCTCCCTCCTGCGCCGACGACGCCGATGCGTCGTCGATGCGGCTCGATGCTCCGCCCCCATCTGCTCGGACCCCATCTGGGAGGCCTTCTGGGCTCGTGGAGCCGCGAGTCGGCGTTCACCGCGCTGTGCCCAGGCGCACCAGTCGGGGCGGCAGGTCGTGTGGTAGGTCTGGCGGGCCTCGTCCGGGTCTCGCCTCGTCGCTCCCCCTCAGCAGCGTCCTCCTCCGTCCCTTGCCTGGCCTGGCTCGCCAGAGTGGCCCCACTCCTCCTCCAGGGCCTTGCCCTCGCCAGGAAGCCGCGTGCGGGTTCTGTCTCCTTCCCCGCCCCACTCCGCCACCCTCTTCTTTTACGTACCCTGTTGCTCGTCTCTCCTCTTCCTCACCTCTGGGGGATCCAACTGAAATTTGTGGTGGGTGCCCCAGGGCACTCTGGGGCTCGACAGCTTGGCGCGGGGTTGCCACCCAAGTGCTGGGGATCGAGATTTTGAGTCGCTAAGTCAGCGATGGCCGTCATCTCAGTACGGGGACGGCGCGGGCAAGCTGACAGTTGCGGAGCGAGCGTGCCTAGATTTGCTCATATTCTCTTCTTATTATTTGTTTTGATTTCTTTGATTTCTCTCTCTCTCTCAAATGCGATTCCGAAAGGTGCTGCCCGCCGTTCTGCCTGCACTCCCGCCTGCGGGGCAGGCCTGCGGCTCCGCCGGGAGCCCTGCCCCGTGAAAGGGCGGAGCTCGTCCGCGCCAGTTTCCCCCCCCTCTCATCCTCTGCGAGGCCCGCCTCCCCCCCGGGCCCTCCCCTGGGCCACGCGCAGAACGGGGGGGAGGCTTCTCAGAAGCACCTCTGCTGCCTAGAAGGCGCCGGCCTTGTCTGCAGATGTAGGGTCGGCACCTTCTGAGCAGCAGCCTCCTTCAAAGGAGCCTTCCCCCTCCCCATGCCCCCTTTCTGCGCGCCGCCAGCTTCCTGCATCGCCCTTGCCCCCGCCCGCGGCGAATCGCTCGGCGGCGGGATGATAGGGCCTGGCGGCCGTCTGCTGACATGATCTGTCAAGGTGGCGCGATGGCGCAGCTGTCCACCGTGTGGGCGCGAGGGGGGAGAAGCTGAAACTGACGCCTGCCCTCAGGACGTGCGCCAGGAAAGAAGAAAAACGTCATGATGAAGAAGCGCCTGTCCATGCTGAAACTGACGCCGGCCCTGTGGACGAATCCAGGAGGAAGAACAACGTCCGTGTGGTCGCGAGTGCGCAGCTGATTTGTGTCGAGGGATTCGCGGGGGGGCCGCGCGCGAGGGCCCCTCAACGCACGACACACGGATTACAACAAAAATGTGGTGGAAATTGCCGAAATTGGGGTTGGAAGCTCCAGGGCCCGTTTTTCCTCCACCCCGCCTTTTCCATCTCCCCCCCCACGCCCTCCCTCACGAGGTTTCTTGATTGCGGCGAGCACCCGTCCAGATCACGCTCCCAGGGGCGCCAACTTAAGACGGCGCGCTCAAGCTATAATTATTCAGGGCCGTTCCTTCTCGCTGTGCCGTGCCACTGGCATGGGGATGCTGCAGGTGGTGCTGAAGCTAAGCGAGCGCACCTCCAGGAAAGGAAACTAACTTGCCCAACGATGGTTCACACAGGAACCGTGGCTTTCGTTGTCTGAGGTGCGGAGAGCGCGCTAGACAGCTCCTGGTGCACTCAGCATTCTGTCGCGGATCTTTCCCACGTCAAGACGTCCACCGGCCGCAAACCCAAACAAATGCCGGCGCCATTGGATATTGGGACAGGTGTGCGCTGCTACCTAGCGAACGGCCCCGCTCCCGACGAGCTGTCAGAGAATCTTTGAGCGATGCTTCAGCGAAGACTCCATTCAGCCATCCCGGTTGCGGCCAACTTGCCGATGAAGAAAGCTGCGAACGCAGAGCACGCGCCGTGCCACAGCAGCAGTGCCCCTGTCACGCGAGGTCTGCGCGGCACCTCGGCAACGGCCTCATCCCGCCCGCCCGTGCGTGGCCCCGCTGCCGCTTCCCGACGGCTCGGCGAGCCCGCGCCGAAGCGAGCACGACAGTTTCGCGCGAGATCTGCACGAAGCTCGGGCGAGGGCGACGCTGCGCACGCTCGCGCGCCACCCCACTCCCAACGACTGGGCGAGCGAACAGTGTGAGCCGCTCCCACGCGGGAGCGCCACCGCCTGGCCTGGGCGATTGCGACACATCGCGCGCTCGCTCGCTCGCGGGCGCAACCCCGCCGCGGACGAACTGGCGGAAAGTGCCCGCCGCACCCGAGCGGGAGTTGAACCCTGCGCCCCTGCGCAGAGGCGAGAGAATGACATGTCGCACTCGCGCGTTCGCGATGTGCGATTCGCCCCACTCCCGTCGTTGACGAAACAAGTTCTCTTTCGAAAGGAACCGCATCGCGATGCCTTTGCATAGCATTGCATCAACTTCGCATTGCGTTTTGGTGGGCAGGTTGGAAGGCCCTGGATGTGGCGGGTGACGGCCGGCCAGGTGGCAGAGAGAGAGAGGTAAATGCCAGCCAGGAAAAAAGATGAGACGAATCTGGCTCAAGTATTTTGCTGGCAGTCGCTCTTCCCTCCTCCTTGCGTTCGACACCGTCGTGCCCTGTCCATTGCTCCTCATCTTGTCCTCCTGCGTAGTCATCCTTCCCCTCCCCCGATACCGTCCATCTCGCGCGCATGCCACACAGGTGGTCAACCTGCACTATATGATGAACAAGATCTCGTCCACCAAGCCTTCGGTGCTGTGGTGCTACAAGAAGGACCCCGCCGCGCCCCCGCGCCGGTGGCCCAGCGTGCGGGTGCACCTGGGCGCGGCCGAGGGCGGCGCGCGGCGCGGCCTTGCTTCGGTCTCTGTCTCCGTCCCTCCGCCCGCCCGCCCCCTCCGCGTGCGCGCCGTCCCGTTGCCGCCCTCGAGCCCTTTTGCTGTCGTGGGCGCTGCTCTCCCGCCTCTGGTCTCCCAGCCCCGTGCCGTTCGCGAAGCGCTCCCACGGGCGCCCAAGGGGGGGGGAAGACTAGCCGAAATTGATACACGTGATGAGGGGATCGACGTGAATGTTCGGCTCCGTCTCGTTCTGGATACTCGTCGATCCCCTCATCACGTGTATCAATTTCGGCTAGTCTTCCCCCCCCCCGTCGTTCCAGGTATCCGTCTGTCGGTCTTGCCCATGATCCGTCGCGTTCGGCTCGGGTCCGCCCTTGTGTTCCGCCTCGCTCTTGGGCTCACCATCCCTTCCTCCTCCAGACTATTCCCATTCCCCTCCTCGTCATGGTTTTCGCATTCCCGGTATCAAATACTGGTACTGCTCTTCGTCTTCTCATCCTCCTGATCCTCGTTTCTTCTCATAGTTCCAATTCGTCTTTGTAGACATCATTTTCCAGTGTATTCTCCAGAAGTCCAGGGAGTTCCCCAGGGAACCCCGCCTCGGGAGGTGCCCTGTCTCTCTCTCTCTCTCTCGCTCTCTCTGCATGCCCCCGCTCTCCCTCCATGGCCCCCCTCTCAAGGAGCTCGGGTTCAGCAGCCACCGCAAGAAGCGGATGAAGCAGGTCGTGGGTTCACAGCCCTGCTCGCGCCAGGGACGGCCAGGGAATGGGGCCCGTGCACAGAGCAGCCTGGGAAAAGTGCAGCAAAGCGGGGAGGCGGAGGAGGGGGGGAGGGAGGGAGGGAGCGAGGCAGGGAGGGAGGAAGATCGGAAAAGGGGGGGGGGGGGAAAGGAGGGGAGGTGGGAGGACAAGGGAGGATAACCTCGAAGGGTCTTCTGTTTTGATCCCCCCCTTGTCACTCGGCGGTGTGTAGGACTGGTCCTGAAACTCTCCTCTTCTCCTCCTCCTCCTCTCCTCCTCCTCCTCCTCATCCTCATCCTCATCCTCCTTCTCCTCCTCCCTCCTCTTCCCCTCCTTCCCCTCCTCGTCCTCCTCCTACTCCTCGTCCTCCTCGGAACAAGGTTCTTAGTTAGGATGTCCCGCGAAAGCGCTCCTGAGGCATAAGTACTAGTAGTTTGTGCAGTCGTAGTCGCAATCGTAGCCGTAGTTCTCGTCGTCGTTCTTGCGCGGCGGGTTGCCGCGGAATACATAATTAATTACCCCTTATTGTTGAGACCTCAGTCTGTGAATAAAGCCGCCGAACAGATACTTGGTTACACCCTACAGGGGGGTTCTAAATACCCTTAGGAGTTAGGCGGGAGGGAGGACGAGGGCAGAGCGAGGAGGGCGATGGTTGGAGCAAGGCTGAATGAGGGATGAGTGCGGAATAAGGCGGAAGCAGAAGGACAAGAGAATAAGGAGGAGGAGGAGGAGGAGGAGGGCGACTGACGCTTCGCGCTCGCGCACGCGGCTTGACTACGAAAAATTAGGAGGGGGGAATGGGCGAGGGGGGAGGGTGAATGACAGAGGGTGAGGAGGGGGAGCCTAGCACGAGGAGAACAGGGCGCACAGGGACGCCGTGTACTCCACACTAAAGTGCGGGGATGTGTAGAGCGCAGGGGGGCCATGGATGGGGCGCGCGTGCACCGGCGAGGGGGGCGCATAAAGGCGATCTGCAGTGGTGGGCTGGGGATACACTCATCCTCTTGCTCGTCTTCCTTGTCCATCTCACCCTACTGCATCCTCGCGCCACCTGTACGCGGCGGCGACTCCAGCGCGGGCGTTCAAGGTTGAATCCTCTCTGGGGGATCGTCTCGGGCCCTCGGACCCACGAAAATGGCCCTTGGCACGAGATCCATTCGAAAGATTGTGTCGACAGCCACTGGGGCCCCAGGCACGGCAGATCGTTCAGGGTTGAACGGCTCGACGATGCCAAAAACGAGAGCCCACGTCGCCAAGGCGGGACCTGTCACATGATTCTCGTCCTCCTCACTTTACATCCCCACCTTCCTCGCACCAATTCTGTCAAGTTGTAATGTGTGTGTGGATATGACGGTCTACCTTCTTTCGCTTACTCCCCGTGGCTCCACATGGCACCCTGGGCACGCTCATCCTCTGGGCACGCTCATCCTCCTCTTCCTCATCATCCTCCTTATTCTACTCTTCCTCCGGTGCTTCGCACAGATCTGGCCTGCTGCGAAGCCCTGGTGCGATGTGGATGTGTCCTTGTTTGTGTTCTGCAAGGGCATGTTAAGGTTCAAGTTTCTGGTCGACGCGATGGTCTTCGCGTCCTGTTCTTTTCTGACCCAAGGGACGGGTCTTGCCGGGATGGTGGATGCAGTCGGCGAGGTGCCAGTTTCAGCAGAACGTTTCGGCAACAAGCTGAAGTCGAAGAAATGCATTCCAGGCGTCACCGTAGTGCCGTCGAAAGGGTTTCAACATCATGGGATACACGGCCCCCATCGCGAATGGACGCGGCAACCACGCATCCATTGGCAGGCCGTCGGGTGAAGGATCAGTGCGGTGTGCCCGCTTGAAGGCGGCATTCAGTTGCGCCTGCGACGGAATAGGCAGATACATGCAAGGAAATGCGGTCATCGCCGCTTCCAGAAACAACGACCCATGCGGAGCGTGGTGGATCAACTCTTCAGTGCCCATCATCATCCTTCACCTTCTTATCCCCACAATCCTCGAGAACCTCCAATAGCCCCAGAGCCTCCAGAGAGCAGAAGGAGGCGGAGGAGTGGAGATACATTGAAGCTGGTTCAGTGTCTGATTTGGCTTTCATCTTTTCCTCATCCTTCTCCTCTTTATCCTCATCCTTCTGCCCCGCCCATCTTCTCGTTCTCCTCCTGCCCCTCCTGCTCCTCCCCGTTATCATCGTTATCCTCATCCTCTAAGCCATGCTGCGCGTCGCAGCTGTTTCGGCCAGACAAGGCAGGCCGGTCTTGGGCATCTTTTTTTGGCCGCTTCCCTGGCCTACGGCGTCGCACATGGTCTCTCTGATGAGGCCGGGTGGTGAGTGAGAGGTTGGAGAATGAGGAGGAGGAGGAGGAGGTCTGACTGTTGCCGGCTCGTTGATTTGGGGAGTTGAGGTCGTTTTGATAGCCTGTGCGCCAATGGCTCGGACAGGGTAAAGGAGGGTTCGCCGTCGTTGTGATCGTCTTTCGTAGACAGCCTCGCCACGCCAAGCGAATGAGGGTGGACGTGAGAATCATCGGGAATGGTGTCGGCGAGCGAGGCAAACACCAGATCCGAAACGAGGTCGTTAGGAGGATGAGGACCGCGTAGCTGGCAGGGGAGGAAGCAGCAGAGACATGAACTTCCGCTGGCAGAGGAGGCAGCAGCTACAGCAGCAATTGTAACGGCTGGTATGGTAGGTGGTGCGAGCAAATTGCAATCATTTGGTTTCTCTTCACTACGCGAGCTTGTGAGTTTGCAGGATGGCGAGTAGCGTGCAGCTTTTGCTCTCGACAGCTATCGATTGCTGTCCCCTTGTTCTCTCTGCTTGTTTCTCTTCCCGGCTCTCCCCGTCTTCCCCGCCCTCTGTCCTCTGGCCTTCCTGTTCGTTCTCTTTCATGTTTCTCTTCCGCAATGTAGCGGTACCAGACTGCCAACAGTGTGTGTGTGGCTGGGCTTTGCGAAAGAAACTTAGAAAGTAAATGCATGGATGAGTCAATGTTAGCCAGCGTGGGCCCCAAAAAGTACGTTCTTGCAGTCTAAGTGGTGCAATCTATGTGGTGCAACGTATGCGATGCAATTTATATCATGCAAGCTATGCGGTGCTGTATGCGATGCAACCTATGTGGTGCAATTGATTTTCACCCATGATTTGACACATCCCACGCTCTTGCAAACATCCCACCCACCCACTCGCAACTTGGTTTGCAAAACCTCTCAAGACCGACTACGACGACACCGACGACAACGACTACGACGACACCGACGACGTCTCCGACGACTTCGACGACGACAACGACGCCGACGCTGACGACGACGAAGACGACGACGACGACGCCAACGAAGACGACGACGAGGGAGGAGGAAGGACGACGACGGCGACAACGACGACAGCGACGACAACGACGAGGGAGGAGGGAGGACGGCGACGACGCGAACGACGAAGAAGGAGGAAGGACGGCGACGCCGACGACGACAACGACGAGGGAGGAGGGAAGACGACGACGACGACGACGACGACGACGACGACGGCGACGAAATAGGAGGGACGACGACGAGACGCCGACGACGGACGACGACGACGACGAGGGAGGAGGAGGACGGACGACCACGGCGACAACGACGACGGAAACGACCACGACGCCAAAGAGGACGACGACGACGAACACGAGGAAAGACAGAGGACGACGTAGGCGACGACGACGACGACGCGGGAGGTGGGAGGACGGCGACGACGACGACGACGACGACGCAAGAGCGTGCGCGCGCACGCTTTTGTTGAAAATCCGTGTTGCGAAACCTTGTGCTTTTGTAGGTTTTTGTTGTACACACGATTTCGAAATCCTTCCGAAACCGATGGGTTTTGAAGGATTTCGGCGTACGCGCGCGACGACGCGTGCGTCTGAACTTCGTCCCGTTTTTGTTGCAGAGGATTCTCCCGACGGCACACGCGCAAGGGCGTTCGACAGATTTCGACATGCGCGCGCGCGAAACCCGTTTAACAGCATGTTGCGAAAATCTTTAAAAACCAACGGTTTGGTTAAGATTTCGCAAGAGCTCGCGCGGAAGCTTTTTTAGCAAATCAGTGTTGCGAAATCCTTCCGGCACCGAAGGTTTTTGAAGGACTTCGGCATGCGCGCGCGACGACGCGCGCGTGTGCACTTCGTCCCATTTGTTGCAAGGGATTCGTGAAAAGTGCGATGGTAGAACAAAAAATGTCACCGCATAGTTTTTTGACAAAGGAACCTCAGGGGGGGGAACCGGCCCCCCGGGGATAGTGTAAGTTCATATTTAGGATGGACATGTGGTCAGAATCATATATGATTTACATACCCGAAGAGGGGGACCGATAACGCGGGGGGGGGGGTAGAGTCTATTCTCTTTTTTTTGGAAAGAGAATCTACGTGGTGCAACTCACTTGCCGAACTTGAAGTTGTCAACTCCACTGCTCGCGCAATCATCCCACCAACCCACACGCAACTTGGTTTGCAAAGCCCATGCGGGACCGAGCACAGATATCGCTCTGGGGTCGTCTTGGAGACCTCGGGGGCGTCTCAAGAGCGCCCCAAGAAGGCCGGAGAAGCAAGACGGCCGACGACGACGACGACGACGGCGGCGACGACGACGACGCCGACGACGACGACGAAGACGACGACGCCGACGCCGACGACGACGCCGAAGACGACGACGACGTCGCCAACGAAGACGACGACGAGGGAGGAGGGAGGACGACGACGGCGACAACGACGACAACGACGACAACGACGACAACGACGGAGGAGGGAGGACGGCGACGACGCGGTCGACGAAGAAGGAGGAAGGACGGCGACGCCGACGACGACAACGACGAGGGAGGAGGGAAGTACACGACGACGACAACGACAACGACGACGACGACGACGACGGCGACAGAATAGGAGGGACGACGACGAGACGCCGACGACGGACGACGACGACGACAAGGGAGGAGGAGGAAGGACGACCACGGCGACAACGACGACGGAAACGACCACGACGCCAAAAAGGACGACGACGACGACGAACACGAGGAAAGACACAGGACGACGTAGGCGACGACGACGACGACGACGCGGGAGGAGGGAGGACGGCCACGACGACGACGACGACGACAACGACGCCGCAAGAGCGCGCGCGCACGCTTTTGTTGAAAATCCGTGTTGCGAAACCTTGTGCTTTTGTAGGTTTTTTTGGACGCGCGATTTTGAAATCCTTCCGAAACCGATGGGTTTTGAAGGATTTCGGCGTACGCGCCGCGCGCCTGCACTTCGTCCCATTTGTTGCAGAGGATTCTCGTGACGGCACTTGCGCAAATGCGTTCGACAGATTTCGACATGCGCGCGCGCGACGCCCGATTGGTAGCATTTTTTTTTTGTTTATATATATATATATATGTTTGGTTAGTATTTTCGCAAGAGCTCGCGCGGAAGCGTTTTTTATGTGTTGTTGTATGTGAAGTCGATTGCGAAATCCTTCCGGCACCGATGGTTTTTGAAGGATTTCGGCATGCGCGCGCGACGACGCGCGCGTGTGCACTTCGTCTTTTTTTTCCAAGGGATTCGCGAGAAGTGTTATGTTAGAACAAAAATGTCACCGCACAGTGTTTTGACCATGGAACCTCAAGGGGGGGGAACCTGGTTGGCCTGGAACATTGCGATTTCATATTTAGGATGGACATGTGGTCATAATCGTATGTGATTTACATACCCGAAAGGGGGGGCGATAACTCCGGGGGGGTGGCAGAGTTTTTTTTCGATGCAATCTATGCGGTGTAGCTAATTTCTGTTCGCAGTGAGTTGTCCACTCCACTGCTCGCGCAGACATCCCACCCACCCACCCGCAACTTGGTTTGCAAAATCTCTTAGGGCCGTGACGGTGGGTACCACATAGCACTTGGCAACCACAGCGTCGCCG